ACTTGGTACTCCTAGTTTATGGCGACGCTGTGAAACTACAAATAATTATTGACCACATAAGCATCACCAGTAGAGTACGTACTACTCAAATAGTACTCTGACAAGTCCGACATGAGTCAGTGGACACATTTTCAGCTAAAAGTCAGCATACAATGGTGGATAGACTTATTGGAGAGACCATGTTCTGGGTGCCACTGCCAATCAGTATTTCACGACATTCAGTCTATTCATTCAGGCAAAATGAAACACAGAAGACATGAGGTTACGGGCTTAAATCTATATTTGAGGGAAAAATTGTAAATGCACAGACATAAGTAGGCAGATGAAGTATGTTCTGAAAAACTGTTTTTTGGTAAAATCCACGGGATGAAATGAAGGTGACGACTTTGTCGGCAAGGTGGAGATCCGAAAAAAACTTCGGTAAAAATGTTTCTGTGTCCAAATGCGTTGATTCAGCAGAGACCCTGTCTTCGTCTAATTAGTTGTAAAAAAATATCCTGAACCTGCAAACAAAAAGAAATAAGTAGAAATGCACTAAGCCGAACAAGGAAGACAGCAACACGTGGGCAAGGTCGACGAAGATGTGCGGTCAGATCAGTCGCCGGGTAGGTGCAAAAAGGAGAGCAGTGACTAGACTTTCATAAAGGGGGTGTACAGGTATCATCATTGGGCAAATAGAATCAGACAGTCCAGCACTGCGTGTAAGAGAAAAGAAGGAGTAAGAAGGACATAGCAGAATCCATTCTCAAAGTACATCGGCAGATTCCGCACTACAATGCACCTGACCTGCTTAAATCTATCCAGACGTGGCAGTATTTGTGGCCTGGAGGGCTGCCAACTCGGTCCCGTTAAAGGCCCGTTAAAGGTCCCGTTAATGCTGCCTTTGTGGCATTCCCAACCACTTCAATGCTGAGCCACCCCTACAGAAGCCCGCGATATGCAACGGGGACCAGATCATGTGCGCGCGGCGCCTGTAGAGCGGGTGGTTATAATTGTCAGTCAATGCACCCGCGTTCACCTACGGTCGCCTTGGCTTCTCTTCCTATCGGAACAATACGCAGTATGTGAACTAACTCATGAAATATGTGGCGGACGGCCCATTGATTCTGTTCCCCGGCCTAATGCTCCTTGCCCCAACGTCATGTGCCTTGCAAGCGCCTGTTCCACTCGGTGTCCTGATGACCACTTGACCGACTTCCACTCACAGACATAGGTGCGCACACACGCACGCACACACATGCCCAAGTAGTCGCGGCTCCCTAAGGCCCACTTCACACACCACCCCTTTGGCCAACACAGCAGGGAGCCTTTGCAGGCAACATCCGCTCGGGCAACTTGCAACACATCAATAGCAGACCACTTGAACTTGCTTCACAATCCTTCTAAAGCAACTGTCACCAGCCCACACAACACACAGTCAACTCTCTCAGGCCTGGCTGGACGCAGCCAGCACTAGTCTTGGCGTCGCCAGTGGCCACTGCCACCTGAGACTGCAAGTGGGAGTTCTGTATACAATAAACCCGTCATTCTGGTGACTCTTGCCTTTTACCTCCAACCTGGGATTCAACCTGATGATT